AAGAGAGTAAATTTGGCAGAAATGGAGTCAGGACTTTGTGTGGCTATTAGCCATCAACTTGCTGACAAAACAAATACAAACATACAGCCATACCATCATTGCTGATATTCTCAGCACCTAATTTGTACATTCATGTATTGCGTCTCGACACTTTGCAATATAATCTCCATACTGCCACAGACTCATCCCATCACTTGTTCTGCAATCCCAGGTATCATGAGAGCTCTTGGCTGTCACAACAATACGATGATCATCAAGACTGTCATGCTCCTGCAACCATTTCTCTACCCTGCCAACTTCCTCTCTTACATGCAAAACCAATATTTTTAGGTGAATGCAATATGCAAGGATCATTTGCAGCAAGGCTGGTGCTGTCCAATCAGTAAAAAATTGAAGGAAATATGCATAAGTTGTGTTAGGCAATGTATGCTGATTGGGGAGCCCCAAAGTACTCAACCTTCCAACAAGTCAAGGTGGGTGACTTTGCTGAATAGAGAGATGGATGGTAGGAATGGCATGTCAGTTCTACGGAAGAGTTGATAAGTGGATAGACAGCTGTGACAAAGGTAGCTTGTTTAATGCATCCAATAGGCAACCTGGCACATCATGATCCCCCTCTGGCAGAATCCAGAGGGTGAGGTCGACAATACCACTGCACAGTTGTATGACCTCTACCACTGTGGTGAGTTGCACTGTACCACCAATACAGAGAGACTTAACATTCACAGAAGCAAACACTGGTCAAGAATGAAGTGAACCAACAAAAAGGCATGCTCATGCCTCACTGGCAAGGACAACGGTCCAATACATCAATTCTTCAATCCTATTACGTCTTGTAAGTCACAACTGAATCCAGCATATCTCAGGACTTTTGCCTACCAGTCATGAACTCTGGGGGCAACCAATAAATATGAGTGCACATTGTTTGCAGGATGGATGCCTGCTGCAAGTTGAAAGACTGTCCTTTCAATCTTGTGTGGCAAATGGATCATATTATCAGTGCAGTGTTCAAGATTGATGTTGAGTCGTAGTTTTGGAGTTTCAAGTTAGAAAGGCGCACTGGCTGACACAATCCTCAGGCTGATCTGCCAGGGCCCATTGGCCTTGGAGTCACTCCATTCAATCCAAGTATGGTTGACATACAGCTTACTACATTCAGAAAATATTCTGTCATCTAATATGTAAGGAGAACATTTGATCCCACAGAACCAATTCACATTCACACTCCACCTGCATTCCAATTGCTCAAGTGCCCCTGATCTGTGCGTGTCTCATATTCTCCTATTAGCATGCTTTGTTCACTTATATTTGTCCCTCTACTCTTCCTAATACAGCATACACAAAACTTGCACTAGTCAGGTCACTGTGATCATGTACTTGGAAATGTAATTGACGCTCCACAAATGATATCATTAGGGTGGTAAGAGGTACTACTAACCTGACTCAGAGGATGAAGTAGATCAATCATCAAACACGACATTCACAATGCCTTGTGATCCTGATAAAAGCTTTGAACATGGCTCTTGAGGCTCTAGTCATGACAATCCTGATAAAAGCTCTGAACATAGCTCTCAAGGCTCTAGTCACAATGATGGTGCTTCACAAATCCTCAGAGTCAGAGACTTGCCATATTCTGAAAGATGGCCTGCAAACAGTCAAGGAGCACCAGCTGATTCACAAGGAAACTACATATACAGCCAAGCCTACTATTGAGCAAGAGTGAAACTAGGTGTTGATACTCAGGAGACATTGGATTCCCAATGGTCACAATCACCAACACACAACATGAGAGGAGATGCTGAGCAGGAGGTAATATTTCCTAACACCACTGTGCAAACACAACAATGGCTGGACACTTGTTAAAGTGCCTAACCAAAAATATTGTTGTAGGTTGATGCTCTGCTAGCTGCTACACTTGCAAGCAAGAACGTTCAACCCTAAAGGGAATTGCTACTGAGAATGGCCAATGATACTAAAGACCCGAAAGTGCGCAGAGTGCGGGAACAAGTGCGTGGGTATATAGAGCGCGGGAATGCGGAAGTGCGGTTGATGAGTGGTTGATGAGTGGTTTGATGAGCGGTTGATGAGCGGTTGATGCAGGAGTGCGAGATGCTAAGGTAAGGGGTAGGGAAGTCTTAAGGAATGGCGCAGGTAAAAAGTGAGGGCAAGGGTATTGATTGCATGGGTAAGGAAAGTCAAGACAAGGTGTCCAGGTATAAGGTAACCAATAGGGGCTAAAAGCGCGCACTAATGGTGACTGCTCCTAAGTAAAACCTAAGGGAAGGAAATACTGTAGAAGGGAAGTAAATGCAAAGTAGTCACCCTAGGCACTTTATACTAGCTAAACCCTCTCGGAAACGGAAGGGACAGGATAGACAGGCAGTAGGAATATGTAAAGACATGTAATAAGGCTGCAACACTTGTTACAACACACAAGGCAAGGCAAAATACGTACCAATGAGGTAGGATGGACAATGGACTGATGCAGGACATCTGTAAGGTAGTCCGAAGGTGCGGGAAATCGACCGCAGTTATGCGCGCAGCGTGGGAGTGAATGTGCAGGTCCGCAGAGCGCGGGAATACACATCCGGAGTGGGTTGAGTGCAGGAAAAGCGGTCAATGGTTTTGTAGCTTTCCATCACTTATATCAAAGATGGCCATTGCAAGCCTAGCAGGAATATGATCATCACACCGTGTGATGAAACAACTCATGAGCATTCTTGTTACCAGCATGAAAATTCTCTTGTCAATATTCCATGGGCAATTTTGCAGTGTGCCTTGTCAAGCAACTCAAACCTTGACTGCAATTCTGACAGGCTGCAAGTGAGTCTCATCTGAGGTCTTGTCTCAAATTATCGCATAGTACTAATCAACCTCAGCCTGAAAAGGCTCAGAGCCACTGGGACTTTGCTCATAATATCACAAACTCCTCACAAGCAGAACTTCCACCTGCAAAGAAGCACTGTACTGCCAATAATGGGGATAAAGAGAGACTCACCAGGTTAGGAAAAGAAATCATTATGATAGTCCAAGAGCAAACTACCCTCCTAGCACATGTATTTGAAGCAGTGTCCCAGTGACCTAACTAACCCTTGATGCTATTCATGTACTTACAACAATCATCATCCAAAATGGAAACTTGAGGGAACTTTAGTAATGACCTCAGTGACTCAATGCAACTCAGTGCTGATCAATGACTCATGCACACGGTTCAAGCTAAGCTTGATGTAAACTCCTGACTCAAAGAAACTGCAATATATAGTCATATCTTAGTCTCACTGGTTTACTGATGAGTCATCACTAGGTTCTGGGGTATTCAAGTGCTCCAAACTCCATGGGTCTTGCCCAATGCACTGCATCATGTGTCATGATTGGAGTCAAAGTTTTTGTTTGCAACTAATGGAGTGTCAATTAGATAATCACACCTTTACCTGCCAACAATGGGCCTTCAACTCAATCATAATCATCATGTCCATGACTGGCACACTTACTATCAGGAGTCATTCCTCACAATCCCATAGCCCTAAACTGAGGAAAAACAACAGACTTGGCAAGTCTACTTATGAAGTGAAGGCTATCGAACCATACAAGCAGCCTCCAACCAGCTTAGCAATGAGATGGGGGAGAAAGCCAGCAACCAAGGACACTTCTACACCTCAACTTGACACCACCCTCCACAAGGTCAAACCAAATCTGACCAAGCCTCCCATTGCTGGACGACACAAGGTGCTTAGGTTTGTCTCAGAATCAAATTGTGAGACAGATTGCGAGGTATGTCTGTGCACTTCAATATTCAGTTACTTGATCATTATGTTGCCAGGTATTTCAAAATATCACTTGAGCAGACTATGATTATATATCTTGCCAAATCAAAGATTACCCTGCAAGACCAAAGTAAACATAGTCTGACAATTTCTTACAAGTTATAACATACAATTCTTCTAGGTTGGAATACAACTGTGATACCCATACCCTTGTTGTTGAAATGCCTTCCCCCGTACATGAGGCTGTAATCAAGGCTATCAGCAAAGGATTGGAATGTCTAGATCTTCTCCTGCAGGATTTCATTGTTGGGAATTTTCTGTCCTCAGACACCCACACTAACTTGACCATTGACAGGGACTCAGTGAAATGTATCCCTGATATCATCCATGTGGTCACTGCCCTCACCAACCCCCCCATCCTAACCACTCCTGTCATGGGCAAGGTGGCTGTATCACAGTCCAGAGCTGATCTACTACAGAGGCTCAGGGACAGGGTTGAGGCATTCCCAGATATCATACTGCTCTTCATGGTTGAGATTAATGAACAGATCCCCTACAGCCCACCCAAACGCCTGAGCAATGCATGGCAAAAGCTACAAAATGAGGAGAATGCTCATTCTTTCACCACCTTCCTTTCCAACCACACTGGCCCAAGATCACTCAATACACCCACTGAAATTGAGGTTGAAGGGCACCTCTGGCATATGATGTCAAGCGTGCATTTTCAGGTTTGGGTACAAGACATCAATGGGCAAATTGACATAGACATGCAGAACCCAAATCTCACAACATGTGGTGTAAGTCTCACCAATACTTAGCGATTCATGACTGATCATACTTACAACAGGAATTATTTCTGAACAAATCAATGGACAATGTCACACTCATGATGGAGATGGGACTGTCCCAGATGAGGGAACAGTACACACATTTGTCCCAACAGGTCAGCCTGAATATCGATGTTTCGGCCCTGCTGGCCACACCTGTCACTCTCCCCTTTGGATGGGATGAGATGCTTTCTAAGCTTGCCCTTGCAAGTATGTCAATGGCTCATGATCATTACAAGAGTTGGTATAGTGTGGTGGCAGGCAGTAGGGGAGTCAAGCGCACAGCAGAGGAAGCATTTGATGCAGGCCCAGCCAAGAACACATGTTCACACATGTGTGCACATGTGCTCACACTGCTGCACTTCACCGGGGCTTGAGCTTACTGTGATATAGTAGCCACAGGTAGATGCCTGCCACTAAACTCACCTTGATACTCGAGTCATTGTTGCTCAGTCCTGCCATTAGCATTTATGATCATCATGTACTCTAGCACACACCATTTTCAGATACCTGATGTACCATCACATTGTACTTGTGCATGAGGCTTTCTTTAATTAATACAATAGTTGTAATAGCCCTTTTACTTTCAACATCAATGAGACATAACCCCAAGTTCGCTCTTAGTCTAAATGTCAAGATCATGACATACATGGGCCATCACAGCACTGGCCCAGGCTGTGAGTCTCCGATCACTGATAACCGTGACCTGTTTCACTTCCTACTAGGTTACTCAGCTACTCAGCTCAATGATTTGGAAATGAATGATGAAAATTAGAGCTGCTTTCTGTGTACTTCTCTGTCTCACTTTTTCTCTTTTAATCATGGACCGTCATCACTTACAATGTGGATCACCATGTCCTTGTGACTTCTCTGACAGTGCAGGACTTGGTTGACACCATAGGGCTTGTGACCATTACAAGCATCATATAAATCTACAAGCCCAGCATTTCAAATGCCTGGCTCATGAAGACCCAAAGCAAACCAGGGCATTTAAGAGGGTGAAGCCTGCACCCTTCCTTGCCAATGATACCGCCTGAGTAGGTGTTACTAGATCATTCTCCAATGGCAGTCACACATGATGCATCATAGGCTATTCCTTTGTCCTCAAGTAGCAGATCACATCAATCAACTCTCAACCATGACC